GTCACTAAGTGGCTCAGAGTTCGTAAAAGCCGGTAGGGCTGGTGATGGAGTGCGGTCTTGCTTGGAGGACTGAGCTGGTACCGGTGGAGAGCTTCTGGCCGGTGATGCTGTGGCTCCATCAGATGGCACTGGTGGAGGACCCATCGGGCAGTCTCAGTCTACTGCCTGCTCCCTCGGCTCAGGTGCTGGCGGCGACGAGCCTCCGGAATGGTCTCCGATGAGAGTTTGGTATGGTACCTGGGGGCTGACCTGTGCCCACGATCCGGCACTGGCGAGGGTACCCTGGGGCTTCCTTAGCTGGTCCAGGTGCCTTCTCCAGATGCGGCCGTCTTCCAGTTGGACCCGGTACGACCTGGGACCGGTGATGGCTACAATCTCCCCAGGCATCCACAGTGGGTCTCCGGCGTAGTTCCTTGCAAAGACATGTTCCTGCAAGACAAAATCTCTGACCCCCGTCACTGAACCAAGAGGGGTGTCAGGGCAATAGTGAGGGTGGAGCCTATCCAACACAGTTCTTAGGCGTCTGCCCATCAGGAGTTCAGCCGGGGATTTGTTGGTGACCATGCATGGGGTTGAGTGTTGGCTTAGTAAGAAGCGGGAGAGTCTGTGATGCCAGTCCTCTTTGCTGAATCTGGCTAACACTTCTTTCGTAGACCTAACGGCTCTCTCTGCCAATCCGTTGCTGGCAGGATGAAATGGGGCCGTGAAGATGTGTCGAATGCCAAGATTGGTGGCAAAACGGCTGAATTCTGTTGAGGCAAACTGGGGGCCATTGTCCGAGACTATAGTGTCAGGTAGACCGTGTGTCATGAATAGACGGGTCAATGCCTTGGTAATTGCTTGCGTGGTGGTTGTGGATAGTCGGGCCACATCGATCCATTTGGAGTATGAATCCACGACCACCAAGAAGTTTCTGCTGTGCATTGGTCCGGCTAAGTCAATGTGAAGTCTAGACCAAGGCGCGTTGGCGCTTTCCCACTTTGTGGGGGTGGTGACTGGAGGGGATGGTCTGGATTCCTGACAGGGCTGGCAAGAGCTTACCCACTTGACGATGTCGTCGTCCATGCCAGGCCACCAGACGTAACTTCGAGCTAACGCCTTCATCCGGACGATGCCCGGGTGGCCCTCGTGCAGTGCCTCTAAGACTGGCGTGCGAAGTGAGGCCGGGATAACGACTCTGGTGCCCCACAACAGACAACCCTGCAAGCTAGATAGTTCCTGTTGACGGGTCTTAAAAGGTGTGAATTCGGTTTCAAGGTTAGTGCCCGGCCACCCCCTCCTCACCCAGTCCAGTACCTGGGCGATTGTTTTGTCAGTCTTAGATTTGGTGGCGATGTCGAGAGCGGTGACAGGAAGGTTGAGCTCGGTGACATCGAAGATGGCATGGACAGGGGCCGGATCCTCAGCTGGAGCTGGCAGGGGGCAGCGGCTGAGGGCATCTGCGTGGCTTAAAGTTTTCCCAGGGCGGTGGATGAGTTTGTACGAGTATGCCGCCAGGAACAAGGTCCATCTCATCATCCTGGGGGACAACACTTGGGGGGGTCTGCTTGTCTCCGGATAGGAGACCCAGGAGAGGTTTATGGTCTGTGATGAGTTCGAAGTTGTGGCCAAAAAGGAATTCATGAAATTTCTTTACTGCTGCGACTGCGGCTAAAGCCTCCTTATCAATTTGGCTGTAATTACGCTCTGTTGCTGAGAGTGTCCTGGAAAAGAAGGCGATTGGTGCCTCGGAGCCGTTGGGTAGTCTGTGGCTTAACACAGCTCCAATCCCAAAAGGGGATGTGTCTGCTGCTAATACTAAAGGAAGACGTGAGTCAAACTGTATGAGGACAGCCTCTGATGTGAGTAGTGATTTGACTGCGTGAAAAGCGGTGTCTTCCTTGTGTCCCCAGTGCCATGGTGATTTTTTATCTAAGAGCCTGTGTAAAGGCTCAGCTACTGACGCTTTGTGAGGTAGGAATGAAGCATAGAAATTTAATAATCCCAAAAAGGCTTGTAGCTCGGCTTTAGTGGTTGGGGTGGGTGCCTCATGGATTGCCTTGACCTTGGATTCTAGGGGGTGGATGCCTGATGCGTCAATTCTATAGCCCAGAAAGTCCACCTGTCTAGTGGCAATGGCGCATTTCTCCCTTTTTAATTTGAGGCCATGCTGTCTGAACCTGTCTAACACTGCTTTGACTCTCTGGAAGAGTTGGGGTCTGTCCCTGGCCGAGACCAATATATCATCGAAGTAGGGTACTACACCAGGGAGGCCCTGTAGTATTCGTTCCATTAGGGACTGAAAGATGCCAGGGGCAACACTTATGCCAAATTGGAGATGCTTGCACCTGAATGCACCCCTGTGGGTCACAATAGTTTGTAATTCGGCTGTTTGGTTGTCAACAGGGAACTGTTGATAAGCTTGTGACATGTCCAATTTGGCGAAAATGGTGCCAGGCTCAAAAGTGTGCAGTAAATGTTGAATGACCGGGACTGGGTACGCACTAACTTGTAGAAAACGGTTAATTGTTGTCTTGTAACCAGAACAAATTCTCAGACTGCCATCCTTCTTAAGGGGTGTGACAATTGGTGTCTCCCATTTGGCAAAGTCTGTGGGTTCAATGACCCCTTGCTTTAATAGTTTGTCAAGTTCCGCGTCCAGTTTAGGCCGAATGGCGAATGGTACCCTACGTGGTTTCAGCCGAACGGGAACTGCTTGGGGGTCAACTGCAAATGAGATGGGGGTACCGTTATAACACCCCAACTCATTGCTGAATACGTCAGAGTAGTCAGCGAATAAGGAGTCAGTGTCAGAAGCTGAGACAGCATGGACTCCTGTTACCCCAAGGCCGAGATAGGGGAACCAATCAAGCCCCAGGAGACTAGGGAGGTTGCCGTTAACTACCACTAGAGGCAGATGGCCTTTGAAAGCTTTAAAATTAACAAGGAACTTGCCTTTGCTGAGTACTGGAATGTCCTTCCCCTGATAGTCCCTCAAGGTGAGTTGGCACTTCTGGAGTTGGTTTCTGGATAGCCTGGGCTGGATCTTCTTGAGTGTGCTCCAAGAGATGATTGAGAGCGCTGACCCCGTGTCAACCTCCATACGACAAGGCTTACCTTCTAATAAAATGGAAAGTGTGATTTTACTGATAGAATGACAGGTGTGGTTAGCATGGTAGCAAGTGTGACAATTTAGTACTTGCCTTTGGGAGACAGAATGGGAAAAGGGAGGAAACCTTTGTGCTGAGTTGTGTGCAGCCTGGCAGACTCTGGCGATGTGGCCTTTTTTGTGGCAATTGTTGCAGGTGGCACCCTTGAATCTGCACGAAGCCCTCGGGTGAGGTCCGCCACAGGATAGGCACAGGATGATGTGTTTGGGTGCACTGCTGCTTTCCTGCCTGGTTCCCGCCTGTGGTTGCTTGGCTTGGGTGAGACGGTGGACGTCTGTTTGATCGTTGGGATCATCTTCGCTGATCACCACTTCCGAGTGGATGGTGGCACAGCTTGGCTTGGAGACGGGGCCTTGAATCTCAGCGGCTGACTGGGTTGCTAGTTCTGCAGCCAAGGCTTCCTCGACGGCCTGGGAGAGGTTGAGATCCTTCCTGGCTAGCAGTCGCCTTTGGAGATGAAGGTCCTTGACCCCGCAGACGAGTTGGTCTAGAAGCATGTCATCTAAGTAGTCTCTGAACTCGCAGTGGAGAGCTGCAGTCCTCAAGGCGGCCATGTACTGGTTCATGGTTTCACCTTCTGCTTGCTTCCTCATCCGGAAGGCGAAACGTCTCGCTATCTGCGAAGGCTTGGGAGAGTAATGATTGGTGAGGGTTTCCAGCAACTCCGTCCAGGGAATATTCTTTAACTCACGTGGTGCGACGAGTGCTGTGGCGGTATCAAAAACGGTGGCCCCACAATAACTGAGGAAGTATGACTTCTTCCTGTGCTCTGCTGCATCAGCCAGGCCAATGGCATCGATGTAGTGGTTAAAACGATTTTTGTACGAGTCCCACTTCTCTTCATCAGGCTTGAACGGTGGGAAGGCTGGGTTGGAGTTCATGTTGTGAACTTCAGCTGGTTACAGGGCTGTAAAATCTCTCTGGGTAGACAACCCTGTGTGCTCTTGGTGAGTGTGGCTGCTGTGGCTACAGCGCTTGCCAGACTAGTAACTTCAGCTCCACAGAACCTCTCTGCTCTCTCTGGGTTAACGTTTGTGGCTCAGGCTGCAAACGGCTGTTGGTAGCGTTTTGAATTTTCGCGCTCCTGGAGAGCGTAGGCGGTAATGGCTGGCCGCCTCTGACAGCGATTCAAAACTCGCGCCCTACGTAGGCGTCAGTGACTCATGGAATGACAGCACCGCGCTGTATTCCAACTTGAATTCAAATGACAGCCGTTTGGATTTCGCGCTCTTTTTGTGCTGAGCGGCTGCGGCTCGCAGCGTTTCACTTTCCCCTGTAGCTTGCTAACTGAGCGGCTACAGACGCCCTTGCTTTCACTTTTGCTGACCGAGCTTTCTGCCGGTGCGGCTGCGGTTCAGCAATAGAGTGACTTCAGCTGCTGCAGCTTGCCTCTGGTAGCCATCCCACCTTCGTCGCCAGTGTTGTAGATTGAGCAATGAGAGGCTAAACCAGGGCATAAATGCAACAAGACTTTATTCAGGGAATAAAGGACTGAACGTGTCAGCTCTGCTGAGAGCAGGCTTCCAACGAACAGCGGCTGACCTGACCCCGCAGCTGGCTTTTATAGCCGGCTGGCGAGGGGAGCCAGCCAATGAGGAGCAGTAAACGCCCCCGCAGCATGAACGGACCTGGTTGGGAACTTTGGCAAGTTCCAGGGACATAACAGTTACTGTCAGTAAATATTAGTTCATAAACCTGCATCTCTTGCTGTCTTCTATATCTATGTAGAGTACAAGCTAGTTTCTATTTAAATGCTATGTATAATCAATCTTATCCTCAATCTTAATGTACCGAAGAACAGGTTTCATTCTGGGATTCTTTCACAATTCTGTTTTAATTTATTGTTCATGACCAGGAAAGCCATTTGAGCCAGCAACAATTCTGAAAGCTGCAGCTGCCAATATCATAGTTTCTTTTTTACTTGGCAAGAGGTTTGAATATGAAGATGCTACACTTGTAAGACTACTGGAGTTAATTGAAGAAAATGTACACCTTCTGGCAACCCCTGCTGTGTTGGTAATGTAATCTTTCATATGAAGAAATACATCATCCCTACAGTTTATTAAGATTTAATTTGTGAAATTTGGATCTTAATTAATTAGAAAACTTGATTTATCATATCTTTAGCACTCACATATTTCATAGTTGATGATAATGATGGTGATTTTGGAGAATGTGGAACAAACCTATTTGGATAAAAATGCTTTGAGATATCTACCAGAAATTCATAGTATTCAGCTCTCTTAATATGTTTCTTCTCTTATTCTATACTGTTTCAGGTATATAATATGTTTCCCATGTTGGGATTCCTTTTGGGTGCTCATAAAAAAATATTGAATAACGGAAAAGAATTCCATGAATTCATACAGGCCACATTCCTTGAAAATATCAAAGAGTTTGATGAAAATATTCAGAGGACTTTTATTGATGCATTTCTTGTTCAGCAGGAAAAGGTAATAAAGCATTTTATTACACGTAGTATAATACCAAGCCACGCCCAAAGAACCAGTAGTAAAAAGTTTTGAATCCCACCACACATGTAACCTCATTCTCAGGTTCTGTGGGGATATAAACTTGAAACAAAAATAAGTAAAAATTAATAACCTCCACCAGCAAGGACATTATGAAACAGCCAAGGCTGATTAAAACATTGATCATGTTTAAAACTTCATGAAACAGTATTCAACAGGAGCCGTAAGCAGGGGTGAGATTCAAAATTTTTAACAACCGGTTCTGTGGGAGTGGCTTAGGTGGTGGGCATGGCTTGTGGGCATGGCTGGGCATGGCCAACTCAATATCACTCACATCGAGGCACACATCTCCTCGCCTGGCCTCTCATGACTGTGGGGTTGCTACAACAGTCGTAAGTGTGAAAAATGGTCATAAGTCACTTTTTTCAGTGCTATTGTAACTTTGAATGGTCACAAATACACAAGCAAAGTACCAGCAAAGAAGGGGAAAAAAGGTCCAGAGAGGTTCCTGAGACAGGAAGTCCAGTCCTGCCAAGAATGTAATAAGGGTTAATGGAGAGGCAGTTTGTGTAAGCAACACCATAATGTTTCCTTCCTGCCTTTCTTACAGGATTAGGCCAGTAATTTCTTCCAACAACCAGTTCTCCGAACTGTTTAGAATGTTAACAACTGGTTCTAGCGATTAGGTACGAACTGGTAGAATCCCACCCTTGGCCATAAGCACCTCCAGGGTATAAGATTTCCCATTATTTGGCAACTCCACATCTTCCTGAATTCTTGAGAGATGACTCTCAGAAAGTCTTCTTGCAGCATCCTTGCTGGCCAACAGATTCACTGTCCGTGTGATGTCTTTATTCCTTGCATATCTATTAAAGCTACTGCAATGCTGGTAGACCTCTAACTGGATTTTTTCCCTGTAAAAAGTAACACTGTTTTTGTAGCAGTTGAGTGAAGAAGTCACATGGGGGTCTCACTTAACAACCCCTTTTCTCAATGTCCAATTATAGTTATAAGTCAAATATTCCAGTAAGGAAATAGTCAGGTGGGCCCTTGGGAAGCAACCTTTTTATCTTTATTTACTGTATAAACATTGGGATATTAATTATTGTAATATGGGTTGGGATATGTAGTGAATGCTCTTCTGATTGGTCCAGAAACTGATCTGTGCAGGAGAAGAGGAAAGCTATTCTTTCTTTTTGAAGAAATTGTAGCCTAGGGAAATCCATGGGAAAGGGAAGGTTTGCTCTAAAACCTGAAGTCGTTCTTCTTTGTGATAGTTAAAATAAAATCCCTCTTCGTGAAAGAAAGCATTGACCTGGCATGTATTGAGAAGAACTGGCAGAGAAATGTGGGGGAAGTTGATCAAAATTTATCTCCAAACTCATTCCTGGTTCTTCCATTGTCATCATTCACTGGGACATAATGTGCAACAGCCATTTGACCTATGCACTTTTCTTCATAGCCACAGCAAAAGGATGTCCTGAGTTCATGTATCCCGACATTACATTTTTGTCATTTCTGTGGTAATTGATCCTCATTTTACTTCCACTGCATACATTGATAAATGCCAATCTACAAGATTAAGTTGTCTTCATTTAGATCAAATTCCTTTTCCTTTTTCTCTTAAATTCCAAAACAGGAAACGTTTTACTTTTTCTTTATTTCAATTCATTCAGTAATTCATGGTCTTTGCCATATCTTTTTCATTATTAAAAGTCACCGTCTTATTTAACCCTGTCCATAAACAGATGTGCCCATAAACCCTAGTATCTGTCAGCTTTTTGGTCAATCAAGACCTTGACATAATTCTTTGTGGAAGGTTATGAGTGTTAGGCTCCCTGCTAATCATAGAACACCAAAGATGGAGACCACATCAACTCTTTTCCAGTCCTCTTAAAAATCCAAGATTTTTAAAACATATGGTACAATGCTTCTGAGATAACATCTGCCAGCTCCTTCAAAACTCTGGGATGTAATCCATCTGGTGATTTATATTACGATCAGACAGGTGTACTCTTACATTCCCTTGCTTATTTTAATTTTTATTTCTAGTCTGTCTTTTACAATTATGTTTTTGGTTGGTTGGGCTATAGGTTCTTTTTGCATGAAGACTTATTCAAAAAATGAATTGAGCAGCTTTGCTTTCTCTCTACTGCCTTTTACTTCTTTGCCATCTTCACCCTTTAGTGGATCACCTGTTTCCCTGACTATTTTCTTTTTATTTATATGATGAAAAAAAACTTTTTAAAAACTATCTTTGACTTTTGTTGCAAGTCCTTATTCATTCTGAGCTTTTGCTTTCCTGACTTCATATTTGCAGGTTTGGGCTATGTTGAAATTCTGCCTTATTTATGTGTCCCTCTTTCCATTTTTTGTACTTCTCCTTTTTGTCTTTCAGTTTATCAGAAGGATAACCGTGTAACCATGTTAGTTTCTTTTTGGGTTTCTTTTTATTTTTCAGTGGTATTGTGTTGGACTGGACTTTTATGATCATATTTTTTTCAGATTTTCCCACACTCCTTGAGTTGTTTTCCCCTTTAGAATTTTTATCCATATAATTTTTTTAGGCTCTCTTTGAGTTTGTTAAAATCAGCTCTTTTAAAGATTAAGACATTGGTTAGATTATATTCTATTCCTTGTGTTTGCATTATATTGAGTTCAAATATATTCTAGCAACTTTAACTCCCTCTATAATTTCTTTCTCTATTAGTAAGAATTAGGTCCAATATAACTTTTCCTCTAGTTCCCTCCTCTACCTTTTCTTCCTCTGCCTTTTGAAAGTTATCAGATAAGTTGGTTAGGAATCTGTTTGATCTCCCACTTGCTGCAGAGTTTGTCTCCCAGTTGATATCACAGTAGTTAAAGTCTCCCATTACTACTATGATATTTTTCCTACATATATTTGTTCATTGATTAGCAAAGAGTTCCCTTATTTCTTCTGCTTGGCTGCGGGGTGGGGCTGTAGTATACATGTATAGCAATGTCTTTGTTTCTCTTTTATATTGACCCATATGGATTCTAGGAGATTTTCATCCTTGGTTTTGTGTATTTCTGTAGAGGTGTAGTAATCTTTTTTATATAATAAACTCTCATAATATCCCGACACTGGAAATTTGGAGACCACTACTTTATATAAGCAGAAATCTACATGATCATAACTGGTCTATCATGGTCATAATTAATCATGCTCATTATTAATATATAACCCGAATTTTAACCCTAATATTTAGTACAGATAAGCAACAAAGTGTGCTCCAGTTCTTGTGAACTACATCTCTCACAATCTCCTGACACTAAAAATTTGGAGGCCACTGTAACATCTGTTCATGTATGTAAATTATAGAATACATTGAATGTCCTTGATATGTTTTCTTTATACTCTTCAGGAGAATAAGAAGTCAATAGATAGCTATTTCCATAATGATAACCTTATAGGTCTTGTGGATAACCTATTTATTGCTGGCATGGATACAACTTCAAACACTTTGTGCTGGGCCATACTCCTAATGATGAAGTATCCAGAAGTTCAGAGTAAGCTGTTTTTATTTGACTGATTTTCAATAAAAAGATAAAAAATAACAAGGGGTATAAGAAGCAAGAATGAGTTGCCCTATTTATTTATATTTGAAGGAATTAATGTGAGGTGAGAGTGAATATATAAGATGTCACCATATGAAGGCTTCACACATGTACTTCAGAGATTTCTGAAAGATATATCAGTTACAGAATGTGTTATGCACTTATCACCTCTTATTACTGCTGAATATGAGATAAGGCTGAAGAGAGTTTTCAGCTATGAATTATACATTCCAAGCACAATCATCCCTTAATATTCTTCTATCTCACTAATCATTTCATAATTTATAGACCTTAAAATATAAATAATCAGTGATTAATCAATCTTTTTCTGCATGGGCATAATCATAGAATAAGACATATGGTGAATACAGAAAAAAAGTACAGAAAGAAAAATTACAAGCATTGATCACAAATGATTATCTTCAGATTTGTGTGATGACCCAGGGTGTGGCACAAAGGCAACACAGTTAGATAATCAGTAGGAGTCTCTTTATTAGCTCAAACTTTGCCCCCAATGTCCAGATTACCTTCTGGCTGGAGAAAACTCTCCCAGGAACAGACTTTGGCTGCAGAGAATCAAGTCCAAAATGTGGTCAACAAAAACTGTAACTATAAGTCCAATCAAGGCAAAATAAGTCCAGCAGGGCAAGAGAAAGAATTCCAGACATGAAGGAACGGCAGTAATTCAACACAGTTGGGAGGATGCAAGGAACGCATATAACCAAAGTCAACACAAGATAAACTCAGAAGACACCGCACTCAGCTTGCATCTCTTTTAAACTCTCATTCCCAGGTGTGGCTAATGAAGAGAATCAGGGTCCTTTCCTCCCCCGTAAGCCATGCAACCCATGTTGTTCTCTTCTCCATTCCTCCCTGTGTGCCCTAGGATGAAGATGGGATGGGCCTGGGTCTTCTTCTGAACTCCCTCTTCCTTGTTCTAACTCTTCCCTGCTCTGCCCAGCCGGACTTTGCCCTTCCCCAGCCTCCTCCACAGCCAACGGAGCCACACTCCCATTCCCTGTCAGCTGCTTATCTTCCTCTTCAGATTCAGACTACAACAGGCACATAACAATCTGTACTATAAATGTACTTTGGAATTTTTCCATAAAATCTCCTTTAAAACAAAATTGATGTGATTCTATTTTCCCAGAGAAAGTCCAAGAAGAAATTGCCAAAGAGATTGGGGTTCGTCAGCCAAGAACAGAAGACCGAGTCAAATTGTCTTATACCAATGCTGTAATTCATGAAATTCAAAGGTTTGCTGATATTGTTCCAACCAATTTGCCCCATGCAACCACCAAGGATATAACTTTCAAAGGTTTCTTCATTCCCAAGGTAGTTTTTGTGAAATAATCCCTTTGTTAATGTTCCAATCATACTTTGTACAGTATAAACTATTTATGACTATAGTTGAACCCACAATTTTAATCATAAGTCATGATGGACATAAAGTGCATAACCATGTAACTATGCCCAATTTTATGACCTTTTTGTGGCACTCATTAAGCAAACATTGGGATCATAAAGTGAATGCTGTGGTCATTAAATGTAGTACAGTATTCACTGTAGCACCTTTTCGCCAGAAACTGAAAGTAAATGCTGGTTTCTTGGAAAAAACACAAATTGTAGTTGTATGATCATGGGAGGCAGCAACAACCATAAATGTGGGCTGGTTGCCAAGTACCCAAAGTATGGCTATGTGACCATACTGGGTGGTAAACCCAGGGCATTGGAACTTCAGTCTGGCTTGTTTTTAAGGGTCTGTTATAAGAGCAACTGGTTGCTAATTGATCAGTAGTAAGTCGAGGATTCCCTGTTCGTAAAATGCAGTTTTAAATCCTGTTGAACACTGAATGTAGCTGATAATCTATGCTTGTTTTTTTCCTTAAACTTTTTTGAGCTACTATGTTTCTCCATGCATAGTATTTATTATACAGTACTATTAATACTATAGTAAATATAAATATATAATACTATAGTATGTTTAAATATATTTGTTATACTTAATACTATACTATTACATATAATAATAGTCTTAAAAATAATTTCCCTGTGTTATCAGACATAAAGGATTTATATTCTTTGCAGTCATGTGGTCATTAGCTGTCTTTGTGAAAGTCGGTCCATTCTCCACCATTCAATCAGAACTGAAGAAGTTTCTTGGATGAGAAGTGAAACCACTTCTAGCGAAAGAAGAAAGCCCAGTTGCTTTTTAAAAGAAAGCACCTTTGGGACTCTGTCAAAGCAATTAACCTAATCAGGGCAAATTATCTTTTTTTATTATTTGATGGAAGAATTTGGTACTGATAGGCTCTTGCAAACAAAAGAAAGGAAATTCAAGAGGATATACTTTTTTCCCCACAAACACATACATCCTTTTCAAGATTTCATATTATATAGATTTCAAAGGGCCAATAAGATAGACTAGGTGGACATTTTACCAAACCCTTTTTCTGACTGCAATCCAGTTAATTTAACAGTTAAAACAAAAGCAATTTCTTTTAGATGGAGACTAATTGAAGAAATACTTCAAAAAGAATGGATTGGGGAGTACCATAAAAAAACTAAATGAGGTTTTTGGATAAAATATGGAGATAAAGACTGTGACAACAACAAGGTTATAGCTGAGGGTATTTTGTTCACTGCAATTCACAAGAAATAACGCACAGTAGATTAGAAGAAAATGTTTAAAAGGATGAATTACATAAAGCCCTAATAGACTCCACTATTTTATATCAAATTAAGTTTTTATAACAGCTATCTATGTTAACTGTGAGAGAAATAGAAACTAAATTATTAGTCTTTTGTAATAAGTCTTTTGTACAGGGATGGGATTCCACCAGTATAACAACCGGTTTGCGATCACTCCTGTACAAAAGATTTAGTGAGATGGAAGAAATTACTGTTGTTATTGGGTAGACTTTTGGTTATTAAGATGAATGTCTTATTGAGGATGTTATTTTTATTTCAAGCTATATTGATGTTGTCAATTGTTTTACCTTTAAAGCAATGGCATAAAATTTCATTATAATAATTTCCACAGCAATGTGTTAAATGGAAAATACTCTTCCTTATATAATTTCAATGTTTAGGGAATGCATATCGTTCCATTGCTGTCATCGGTGCTCCATGATGAATCCCAGTGGGAAAAACCTCATGAATTCTATCCTGAGCATTTTCTTGACTCAGAAGGAAAATTTGTGAAGAAAGATGCATTCATGCCATTTTCTGCAGGTAACATCATTCTGTGTATGTGAAAAGCTACCCTGGAAAGAGTTTCAGTGCAACAGAACAGTTAGGAAGGTTAATTAAGATTATAATTATTCATTTGAGGCAATGTGACTATGGAAAGCCATGTAAAATAGTTTAAGAAGCCAAAACACCCACCATTTTTGCTATGTATGCTTTCTTCCAGGTCAGAGAGTATGTGCTGGTGAGACCCTTGCCAAAATGGAGCTCTTCCTCTTCTTTACCAACCTCCTCCAGAGATTTACCTTCCAGCCACCTTCAGGAACATCTAAAGATGATCTGGACATAACTCCTGCTCTTGGACTTATCACCCCTCCCATGCCTTACAAGACCTGTGCTGTGTTATCTTGATCTGACAGAAGAAGAAAAAAACTCATAATAAGCTGTTTCTCACCTTTTAAATGCCTTTATTTTGACAGAGGGACAAAATCTGACAACCTGATTCCATATCGCATTATATTTATTATATTTATTTTGTTTGAATTCCACCTTTATTGTTTTAACAAATAACTCAAGAAAGTGAATATATCTAATACACTATCCTACCCTTATTTTCCCCAAGTTCTTTGGGCTAAGAAGAGAGACTGGGCCAAAGTCACCCCCGCTAGAACTCACAGTTTCCTGGTGATTAGCCCAAAGTCAACCAATTAGATTTCATGGCTAAAGTACCACCTGAACTCACAACCTCCTGTTTTCTAGGCTGGTGTCTTAACCACTAGATCAAACTGTCTATTGTTTAGGTTTCATGTGTTGCGTTAAAGAAGAATAGCAATAATCTATAGAAACATAAATTATAGGTTCTGATAGAGAAGAACAGAAGGGAAATCTTGAAAAGCAAGGTGCTTTGTATCATTATTAGTGAATTTTTCTTTTGTACAAATGATACAAAGCTCTTTGTTTCCTTTGGCTTTTACTATTTTTTCTCCTTTCTGTTTCTGTTTAGAAAGTTTTGTCTCTTTTATTTTAAGTATTTTAATTACTTTTTAAAAAGCAGTCTCTCTCTCGTTTTCTTTTTTCTTTTTTGCAATAGTCCTAATTGTAAATTCATATATTTGCTTTATTAACCTAGTTGCCACTTCTATTATTTCTTCAAAATCCAATAAAATAATATTTTACATCGGGAAATTCCACAAGGCCTCCAGCAACAAATCGGGATATTGGGGGGAGGGGGGGCTATTGCCAAAACCAATGAGATGTAGCTGAATGCAGCATGACCTAACATCTCTTTGCCCAACACCTCCAGAGGAAATCTCACAAGGCAAGCAATGGGGTCAATATCGTCCATTATGATCACGATACCCCAGGATCTGAGGCAGATCTTATATGAGACAAACTACCCTTTAGGGGAGACTTTACAATCTATTGTTAAACATGTTTGCCAATATAAATATTTTGATAAGAACGTAGTGTTGTACATCATGTTGCAGGTGTAAAAGGTCTTTAATCCATAGCTTCTTTTACTTAAAAGATTAATAATCACATTTGATGAAAAAATATCAAGACATTTTCGTGGCTGGGACTCGTTTGTTGATAAGGGCTAGTTTCCAGATGTCTGGTAGGCGGGAGGTATCATCCTGTTTATTCATGTTATGGGGGTGTTTCTCTATTTTGATGGCTTCCCTGATTATTCTCTTGTTGAAGTGTTCCGTATTGGAGATTGATTTGGTTCCTTCAAAATTAATTTCATGTCCTGTGGCTTTAAGGTGCTGGAAAAGGGAGGAAGTATTTTCTTCTTTTCTGACTGCGTTCTTGTGTTCTGCGATACGTGCATTTATTCTCCCAGCCACAAAAACCAACACTGGACCCAAAACAACACATGACGCCACCACCAATCTCCCTCACCAGACTCATACCCAAACCCACCCCATAGACGAAAGGCAACCACTGTCCAGAAACCAGACCACAGCTGCATCACCAGCTGCCACACACCCCGATCCTCAAACCAAGCAAACAGACACATCAAATGAACACATAGTCAGGCCTCAAACTCGGAGCCAAGCCAAAACCCAGAATGTCATATCATAGCCACCCACTCAGGATATCATATCATGGAACTCAGGAGGTTACACCACAAAACCTCAGGATGTTACAACACATCCAACAACCCAGGAGATTATAGCACAGTAACCAGGATTTCAAAACAATAGAACTCAGAAGGTCATCACACAGCCCATTACCCAGGTCGTTACAACACAGGAGGCTGATAGACACACAGCCAATACCTCAGCCACACATTTTCTTACAAAAAAGGCAGGCAATTTGCAGACATCAACTCCATCAACCAATGAGGTGACAGCACAGCCAACCTCTCCACTAGTATTTATAGAGAGATGGCAGCTCAGATCATGGCTTGCTCGCACAAGCATGAAGCCAAAAGCACCAGCCTGAAGATGGTGAGTGGGACCTCGTCGAAACGTCACCAAGATACTCTCAATCTTACACGGGAAAAGACCCAAACACGCCAAGACCTGCATACCCGTACCCATGAAAATCTACGAATATATATATATATATATGGGATGCCAGGAAATGGTGGTGCTGATTGGCTATGAAACAGTCAAAGAGGCATTGGTGAACCAGGCAGAGGCATTTGCAGAGAGGCCCATTGTCCTCATGTTTGAGGATTATGCAAAGGGCTTTGGTAAATTATTTCATTCTGGATCATATTTCACAACCCTTATAAATCTAATCAATATTATGTACATATAGTCCTCATTTAGCAACTGCCTCGGATAGTGAGTATTTGCTAACGCAATGGTAATAAATGATAGCTAACATAGTAAAAAAAACATTTTTCAACCAATGCACACACTTGTACCCAAATTTCTGTTCACTGGACTAAGAGTAATGCTAGTATTACTACCCAAGAGAACTTTATCTAAATGACATGGCAGCAACCAATGATGTTCGATCTTTGCAGTGTTGGAATTGGCTGGCCCAATATCTAAGGAAAGAAATGGGGGCTATTCTCCAGAGCCTCATTTGGATGATCTCCTACTACTTCTCCTTGCAAGAGACACCATGATATTTTACATGCTGGACTTCACCATAGGCAGCTTACACTTTAAACCTCCTTTTGCTAACTTTCATACTTAAGCAACTAATCGATCAGAGCAGCAATCACCAACTGGTAGTCTGCAAGAAAATTTTGGTCGTCTGCAGAAAAATGATTTGCATTTTTATATTACACTAAATACTATTTATCTTGTTTCAAAAAAAAAATCATATTAGTGGGCCGTGGGGTTTAAAATTATGAATTTAGTGGTTCCTGAGGTCAAAAGGTTGGTGACCCCTGGATCAGAGCATACCTACTTCATTTTCTATACTATGGTACAATTTCACTATGCACCATAATGGTGGAATTTACTTGGTAAAATCTTCATGCCGACTTCTCATTTCTAATTTGTCTTCTTATCTTTACCTCTTCACTTCAGGTATTAGTTTTGCTCATGGTGAGAACTGGAGACAGATGCGGCAGTTTTCATTATCTGCATTACGGGATTATGGAATGGGCAGGAGGATTGTTGAAGACAAAATCACTGAAGAATGCAGTATCTTGACAAAAGCATTTGAGACTTATAAGGGTGAGTCAATATTTTTTCCTGCAGATTTACCAGTGTATCTTTCAGGATCTAGAGGAAACTTTTTTAGAAAAATATGCAAAGAACTGTTATTTATGAGGATTTAGTGTAATTTGTTTTACTAAATTAGTTATTGAAGAGTACAGAATGATGCACTGTTTCCAATATGAGCACTATTTCTGTACATGAACATATATTAAGAATTGTGTTTACTATACTTGTAAGCATTGAGTTAGTGATATTCATATTATCCAATTAATAGGAATCAGTTAAGAAGTTAAGAAAACTAAGCAATTAGTCATTAACATTCATATTCATTCTTGTTTCTCCAAACGATCAGTTCACTTTTTCTGTATCTCTCATTGATTCCCAATCATGCATTCCTGTCATGTAAAATTCTCCCCATCACCACAAGATCATATTGAGATGGTTGCACAATTTTCCCTTAGATCCATAGCTTAGAATTTTATTAACTTCATTCCCTGGAGTATAATATGCAGGGGTGGGATTCATTTTTGCTCCCAGGAGGCCTCCCTACACTTACCTGGGAGCCAGACAGGCCTAATGGGGAGTCCTGGGAGGGGTGGGGCGGAGTGGTAGTGCCAGTGGGTAGTTGGAACTACCAGTTCACTGGACTGGATGTAAAATTAACATCCGGTTTGTCCCAGCCTGAAGTGGCTGAATCCCATTCCTGATAATATGCATATATTACCAAATAAAAATCCCTGTTTATGATCAGACATGCCACATTTCAAAGTATGAGGAATAAGTATAAAAGTTCTCAAAATCCTTCTTTGTATTTAGTGAAATGATTATGGCAGTGCCCGTGCTATTTAAAATTACATTTATTCTCACATCAATTCCTTGTTTACAAACAAATAATTATAAATCATCAAGATGCAGTAAACTTGCTAAAAGTTTTGTGGAGTCAGCAATATTTCCAGGTGCTATCTGGAAATGTGTTGGCCATGATCATTGTTTAGTTTAGAAATTACAACTGTATAAATTTCATTAAGAAAGGGAAACAAAATAGTGGATGCAAAATCTTTTAAGAAATATTTCAAAGTTCACATATGAAAATGCCTGTGTAAATCTAGTGTTTATAAATCTAGGGGTTTATTAGCTCTGTTGACAATTTCAGTTTATCTTCATGGTTGGGCACTCTCTGTTCTAGATGATATGACTCTCTGTTAACTCAGTCCTGAAATCATGGGAGGAGAGTTAGGTCCTTAAAAACTTTTATTGAAACACTTTGCAAGGAATGCATTCATTTTGAATAACAGCAAAAACAAATTGTAGATAAAAGCATGAAAGTTCCTTCTCTGATGTGGATAGCTGAGGCTCTGCTCTTGACTATAGAGAGAGGAACTGTGTCCTCTGAAGCCTTAGATCTATTTGTTAATCTAAAAGCTTTTGTCCTTCTCATTTTATTTTTCATATTGCTAGCAACATGGCTTATCTTCAGCTGTTCTTCCACTTCCACTTTGAACAGAGGGACTAGAATGCTCCATTTTATCTGTCATCAGAAACATAACTGCTTTTCACTCCAAAGGAAGCATATCTCTATACTGCATTCATGTGTAACTATGTTTTTAAAAGGATAGGTTACAGAATTATTCTTTGTGTTACTGTCAGTAAATATTAGTTCATAAATCTGCATCTCTCGCTGTCTTCTATATCTCCGCAGATTGCAAACTAGTTTCTATGATAAATGCTATGTATAATCAATCTTATCCTCAATCTTAAAGTGACAAAGAGCAGGTTTCATTCTGGGATTCTTTCACAATTCTGTTTTAATTTATTGCTCATGACAAGGAAAGCCATTTGAGCCAGCAACAATTCTGAAAGCTGCAGCTGCTAATATCATAGATTCTTTTTTACTTGGCAAGAGGTTTGAATATGAAAATGCTACACTTCTACTGGAAATACTTGAAGAAAATATACACCTTGCAGGAACCCCTGCTATATTGGTAAATGTAATCTTTCATATGAAGAAAAACTTCATCCCTACAGTTTAGCAAGGTTTAATTTAACAGATAACAGATAATCAGAGTTGGAAGGGATCTTGTAGGTCATCTAGTCCAACCCCCTGCCCAAGTGGGAGACCCTACACAATTTCTGACAGATGGCAGTCCAATCTCTTCTTGAAAGTCTCAAGTGATGTGAGATTTAGATTTTGTGAGATTTAGATCTTAATTAATTAGAACACTTGATTTATCATATCTTCAGCACCCACATATTTCATGGCTGATGATAATGATGGTGATTTTGTAGACCAGGTGTGTCAAACTGGCTGCCCATTGGCTGGATATGCTACATGCAATCCACACCCATCCCAGTTCCACAAAGGGGAAAAGCATTGTGATATGCCACGTGATATCACGAGTTTGACGCCTGTGTTGTAGACTGTGGAAGAAATTGATAAAAATGCTTTGAGAAGCCTATCAGATAATATATTCATAGTATTCAGCTCTGTTAATATCTCTCTTATTCTATACTGTTTCAGATGTATAATGTGTTTCCCAAGTTGGGATTCCTTTTGGGTCTTCGTAAGACAATAACGAATAACCAAAAAAAGTACTATGATTTCATACAGGCGACATTCCTTGAAAATCTCAAAGAGTTTGACGAAAATAACCAAAGGACTTTTATTGATGCATTTCTTGTTAGTCAGAAAGAGGTAATAAAGTTATTTTAAGTATGCCAGGAATTATGGGTGATTTTATTTCTTTCACATGTTTTACAAATATTCTGGCTGGTACTAGAAAACATGCAGCTGGAGAAAATTTTTGCTTTAGAAATTAAAATACTTATACTGAAAAAGTACAAGGTCCAATCTTATCAGTCCTGATTAACTGATAAAACCACAGAAGGAAAACATTCCTGCTGTTGCTGCTCCTTCATGTTTATCTCTAAAAACAGCATATAAAAGTTAAACATTTAAAAAAGAAGCAAGGGTACCCGGTTAAAAAGTTTAAAAGGCCTAAAAATAATTGAAATATTAAAACATTAAAACTACATAGATTAAGATTTTAAAAACTAAAGTGAGCTATTGTAAACTGAAACCAGAACCTCTAAAAATGTCAGGGAAAACCATTTCTTGGAGTGAAAGTGAGTTGTGAGTAGGTGAGTGGCCAACAGATTCACTATTTGTGTGGTGTCTTTATTCCTTGCATGTCTGTTTGTCGAGTTGTAATTGCAGGAAAGTCATTATCTTGATGGCAAACCTCAGATAAGGACAAAAGCAAATACAACTCAGGCAAACAAAATCACTAAATGCAAAGAAGGATTAGACAGTAACATAGGTTGAGCAACAACCAAAGTTAACCAATGTTAGAGGATTACTAAAAATGTGTATAAATACAAGACTAGACTCCAATAAAGTCATCATGATTCATGTGATCCTGATCAAACACCTCGACTGCCTCATCATTACAACATCTGTTAAAGCTACTACAATGCTTATACACCTCTAACTGGAATTTTTCCCTGTAAAAAGCAACATTGTTTTTTTGTAACAGTTGAGTGAAGTCACACCAGGGTCTTGTTTAACAACCACTTTTCTCAATGTCCAATTGTGGTCATAAGTCAAATATTATCTGTAGTTCCACTTCTATTGTCTTTCATTGAGGAATAACTCCAGTAGGGAGATAGTCAGGTAGGCCCATGGGAAGCAACCTTTTTATCTTTATTTACTGTATAAACATTGGGATATTAATTATTGTGATGTGGGTTGGGATATGTAGTGAATGCTCTTCTGATTGGTCCAGAAACTGGTCAGTGCAGGAGAAGAGGAAAGCCATTCTTTCTTTTTTTAGAAATGATGAATTAATGAAACTGTCACCTAGGGAAATCCATGGAAAAGTGAAGGTTTGCTCTAAAACCTGAAGTCTTTCTTCTTAGTGATCGTTAAAATAAAATCCCTCTTTATGAAAGACAGCATTGATTGAGAAGAACTGGCAGAGAGATGTGGAGGAAGTTAATCACAATTTTTATGGGTTTTTTAAAATTTTATTTATTTATTTTGATTTGTCAATCGCTTACAATATAATAGGTGTAAGTATATACATAGTTATGAATACATGAAATGGGTACATATAAAAAAAATAAAATGAACAACAGGACAGGGATGGTAGGCACATTGGTGCATTTATACACGTCCCCTACAGACCTC